AGGAAAGCCGCTACTATGGCTTTTGTTACTTCCCTGATCACTGTCAAATCAATTCCAGAAGGGGTACCCCTGTTAACAACATCTTTCAAATGAGAAAACAGAAGCCCACAGTGCACAGCGACTTGCCCCAGGACAGTAGCCTGGGACTTGCCCTGGGACACACAGCCAGGATGCAGAATCCGGGACTTGCCCTGGGACACACGGCCAGAATGCAGAATCCGGGACTTGCCCTGGGACACACAGCCAGAATGCAGAATCCGGGACTTGCCCTGGGACACACAGCCAGAATGCAGAATCCGGGACTTGCCCTGGGACACACAGCCAGAATGCAGAATCCGGGACTTGCTGACTCCAAAGTTGATGCTCTTTTTCCTAAGCTGGTGGTTCCTAAACCTTTTGGGGCCCATGACCTCCTAGAAAATCTGATGAAAACAAAAGATTCTCTTGCCAGACACACACATAGACACAAACGCAATCACCAGGCGTTCCCAGTCCCTTTGAGGCCAGCCATACTGGAAGAGAAAGTTCCATGGATTCTTAGTTAAAAAACAATCCCCATCTTACATCTTGCTGTATTCTACAGTGTGTTCTTTTGTTTTTAAGGGATTATCATGTTTCTTTGGAAAACAGTGCTGAAAAATGCCATGAGGAATTCAGATTCTTTGGCTCCAAACTCTCAGGCCACTTCCTGGTCCACACAGGTGAGGCCAGCAGGGAGGTCTGACACTCCGCAGTGCTTGGCCTTGACCCCTGTGGATGGGTCATATCCAGGACCGTATCAGCATCCTCTCCAACCTGGGCACTGTTTCTCAGGGCTGCTCCTGCCCCCAGGAAAACACAACCCCTACCCCTGGCAACATGCCCTGACATGTACGTAGGTCACCATACATGCTGGACATTCTCTATCTGGTCCCTCCACATCCATCCTCTGTTCTGCTCATCCCCGGAAGGCTGACCCTACTGAATGTGTCACAGGGACAATCTGGGCCTGTGGCCGACAGGTGGGATGGCCTGATGAGAGGCTGCGGCCAGAGAGCAGAGGGCCGCAGGAGAGAGAGCTGCAGCTGTTCTGTCCCTAGCCCCTTCTTCATGCCTTGATGCTGTCCTCTGGCACTGTCCCTCCACACTGCAGTGCCCACTGGTAGCTGCTCCTAGGCTCCTGTCCTCACTGGAACCCAGGAACATCACTTCCTCCCCTGCCCTTTCAGCCACTGGGGCGGTAAGAGCTCTGACGCTGCTCCCCTCTGGGAGCCCCAGCATCCTGCTGCTCCGTTGGCACTGCCTATACCCCTGTAAGCTGCCATTGCATGACAGGGTCTTTCTATGAGGCTCCTATGTGAATTCTCTTCCCTCCTGGGGCCTCGGCCCATCTCCCGTGGCACTGGGGGAGGGTCCCTAAGTGCTCATCTTTTGACACTCTTGGGGAGCCCAGAGCCGATGTCCCCTTCCAGAACCTGGGAGGGCAGTGCTTTTCCAGAGGGACTCAGAGGGGTGGAAACACGTGGCTCTGACACTCAAGCCCACCCTCAGGGGCCTTATCTCATCTATGCATGTCAGCTTCCTCATCTGTACAATGGGAACAACGAAACACGCACACGACAGGGCCTTCCACAACCATATGCCGTGCCAATCCTGAAGGGCCAGCAGTGCTTGTCATTATGATTCGTTATTCATTCTCTCAATTTCTGAAGCAACCCTACAGATCTTAGGTTCATGGTCTGGATGAGTCAGAGGGCCAAAGCCATGCAGTCAGTAAACACTCACCCCAGGTTAATGAGGGCCTGGGACTTTTTCTTTTTCTCTTTTTTTTTGAGACAGAGTGTCGATCTGCCACCCAGGCTGGAGTGCAGCGGTGTGATCTTGGCTCACTGTAACCTCCACCTCCCGGGTTCAAGTGATTCTCCTGCCTCAGCCTCCCAAGCAGCTGGGACTATAGGCATGTACCTCCAAGTCCGGCTATTTATTTTGTATTTTAAGTAGAGATGGGGTTTCACCATGTTGGTCAGGACGGTCTCAAATTCCTGACCTCAAGTGATCCACCCACCTCGGCCTCACAAAGTGCTGGGATTACAGGCCGGAGCCACTGCACATGGCCAGTAGTTTTTTTTGTGACGTTAGATAGTATAACATAGTTGGGGCCGGTGAGTGGGGTGGGAGGCTCTACAGCCGGTCTGGAGTTCACGTCCGAGCCCTGTCACTTCCTCGCTTAGACACAGCACTGCCTACAGCTGCCACAGTTGCTGTGAGCACTGAGATGATGCCAGTGTGAGAACGGCTCCCTGATGCACAGTAAGTGCTTAATAAACACTACTCGTCATAAATGACTGCAGTGTTTGGCAGGCCTCAGTTCTCTCATCTGTGAAATGGGGCTAATCTCATGGAGCTGCTGGGGAGTGAATTGGAAGATGTAGGCAAATGAAGAACTGTCATTGTTACTGTTACCATTTGATCTGCCCGTCTGGCCTTGGCCTGGCTGGTAAGTGGCTGTGGAGACAGCCAATCCCACAGAAATGCTGCCAGCCAAGTCTTTCCACTGTGGCGAGGCAATAGTGCTGTCTCTGGAACTCGATTTATTGAAGGGGGCTTCTCTCTAAGGCAGGGCAGAACCGCTGAGCCTGCACTCCTCAGCTGTCCCCGGGTGTGGGGGATGGGGGTGAGGTGGAGGTGGGCCCCCGTCTCCGCTCTGGGGAGAGTCCCTTATGCAAACATTTGCCGACGGGAGCATTTGGGCTTGTCAATGTTGTCGATAAGGACAGGCTCTCTTTCTGCACATCAGGATTTGGGGCCTTATTGAGTTGTGAGCTTGCAACTGTGTATTTAGCCTTCACTTCTCTGGTTCCATATTTGTCTAAGCTCAAATATTCCCCAGCCTGAGACTGGGAGCCTGGCATGTGCCAGGTACTGTGCCCGGCACGGGGGACCCAGGGAAGAACTGATCACTAACAGAGATGAGCATGACACAGCCTCCACGTGGGGGAGGCACGGGTCCAGAGAGGATAACAAACCATAAAGAAATAAGTTACAGCATGGCAAGAAAGCACAGTGACAGAAGAGGAGAGTAGAGGATGGAGAAATTACTGATACTTGTGGAGGGGGAGGGAACAGGGAAGGCTTCCTGGAGGAGGTGTCATTCTATCTGGGTTCTGAAGGCATTTACCAGGTTAAAAAAAAAAAAAAAGTGAGGGGCAAGGCATTCTAAGCAGAGGGAACAGCGTGTGCAAAGGCACCCAATCCTGCCTGGAGTCTGGGGAACAATGAACTCTGTGGGAGGTGCAGTGGGAGGTAGGAGGAGTCTGGGAAGACCATGGGCGTGGGCAGGAGGCAGTGTTCTGAAGGGTGTGGCAGCTGGGCTAGAATCAAGGGGCTTCCCTGCTATCTCTGGAGTTCCATGTCCACTTGTGGGGGATGCAGTCCTGCTGCATTGCTGAGACACTGCTTCTCAGAAGCCCAGTCGTTTCGCCCTAAGGAAGACCAGTGCCCCCACTGGAAGGCTCCCATCTCCATAAGAGAAACTGTTTCCAAGGTGCTGCCTGGTTTGGCAACAGAGCCGCACCGGTCAGGAGAGGGAACAATCACTCCTGGCTCCAGGTTCCATGTCTACCCAGAGAAGCGGGGTTGGGGGATGCTGGCAGCAAACACCCAGTCTGCACCCAGGTGACACCCGAGGCCCTGAGCTGCCCCACAGGGAAGGGATGGATGAAGGCAGGATGACGGCTCCAGCCAAGAAAGCAGTTGAGACCTGGGACCCAGGTGACAATGAGGTGGGGAGGAATGCGGCGGTGTGCCAGGAAGACCTCAGAGCACCACAGGTAGCACTACAGACAGGACTGTTCCCCATGACGGAGCCTGGCTTTTCTGGGCATGCAAAAGGCAGAGAAGCTCCCCAGCTGGGTGACCCACCGCCAAGTAAGCAGGATCCAAAGTGGGTGGGAAGCCAGCAGCCGCTGTTTTGCTGCCGGGCCCAGGCCACAGTGGAAGCACTTCTGCGATGGGAGGCAGAGGTGTGGAGATGGGGATCAAGGTCAGGTACCCCTTGATATCCCAAGTTTGGAGGGTGTGTACCGGACAGCAAGGGGCACCTGCCATACCTTCCATGTGCCCAGGGTGGAGCGATTCTTGAGGCTGTCTCAACCTCTCCTCACCTGACTCAACACAACCTCTTGGAGAAGACGAGGCCCTGCCGACCTCATCTGCTCCCTCTCTCCTCCCCTCAGCTCCAGCCATGCCGGCCTCCCTGTTTCTCACACACATCGAGCTTGCTTGGGGTCTTCCTGCCCCTGGCCTCCTGCTTAGGCAGCCCTTTCTTGGGTACACCTCTGCAGTGAGGCCTCTCTAGCCCACCTGATGAGGAATGTGTCCCAGCCTTTTCCACCTGAGCCTTGGACCCTGCTTGGTTACCGTCACATGGGTACATGAGGGCACAGCGGGCACTCAGTATTTTCTGGCCACCACCTGAATAGTCACTGAGGCCACATGACACCACCAAGGTGGGTAAGAGGGGAGTGAGACCTGTGGGCATCAGCCCTCCAGCAGGGAGTGGATGATCCTCCACCGGGGTCATGGAGGCAAGTGATCAGCAAGAGTGTGGTCCCCAGGGCCGGCCACCAGGAAGGCCGTGAGCATCCCTGCCCCGTGAACACAGAGCACTGTGAGGACAGGGCCAGCAGCTGCGAGCTGTGGCCTGGCAACCCGGCAGGCGGGGAGCGGATACACACTCTGACCTCTGTCTCTTCCTGCCAAGGCGCCCAGTGACCCAACCTGACCGCAACCCAAAAGGGCACAGAACCCGGATGCTTTCACACAGGCCAGCCTCCTGGCAGGGAGTGCCCAAGAAAGGTGGAGAGCAGGTCTGGAGGGGCTGTGGGAGGATACCCGGCAGGAGGTGCTTGGCAGCCCTTGTGCCCATAGCCTGCTGGGTAAGGGTAGTTCTCTCAGATGCCCCACCTCTTGTGTTCCCCAGGGGGCCCATGAATCAGCCCAAAAGACCGTCCCGCTCCTACCGTGAAAGTGCGCGGCCGTCTTCCGCCTTAGGGCCTGCAGGGTCACCTCGGAGTCGGCCCACTCCAGCACCAGCCTCCGGCCATACAAGTGGGTGCTGTGACACAGGGCATTGAAGGCTCTCTGCAGAGGGACAAGAAACGAAACTGCACATCAGCTGGATCAGCGCGGCAGACACTCCACTCTGCCCGCCAGCTGCCTGCCCGCGTCTCAGATGCCAAAGCCCAGGTTCTGGCCCCGTGACATCTGATCTCCAGCGAGGGTTTGGGGAGCAGTTGGGTGCATCTATTTAATTAGTGGGTTGCGTTCCCAGGGAGAAAGCTGCAAGTGACTGAGCAGTCAATATATCCGCCGTCTGGGCTGTAATTGGTGCCTGGGCCGAGGCAGCCGTCTATTTGCTGCGTGTCATCCGATCTGTGGAGGGCGACCCCATTAGTGGGCTCGCCTCCCACCCGGCTGTCTGCATGGTGGCCACTTGAGAAAGCCGAGCCCTGGCTGGCCGCCAGATGACAAGCGTGCAGGCCTCTGGGTGTCACTGGGTGCCGCTCTCCTTCACTGCCCTGGTGACTCTGTCCCCCACGCTGTTTGGAGGGCCCCTTCCGCCTCCGCTGCCAGTGCCCTTTGCCTCCTCGCTGGTTCCCCCAGCCCTGCACTCCTAGCTCCCAACCCCAGCTCAGCAGCCTGGGTCCTGGCACAGGCTGTTCCCGCTCACTCTTTGCTCTTCCCGACTCCCACATGCTGCCTGGTTCCTCTTCCTGCTTTTCAACAGCTATACCGAGATAGAATCCACATACTGTATACACCGCTTGTCTGAAGACAATTCAATGGCTTTTAGTATCATCACAGAGCTGTGTGAAATGTCACCAAATCCATTTTAGAACGTTTTCATCACCCCCAAAGGAAACCCCACACCCCTTAGCTAGCAGTCCCCCAGCCCTTGGCAACCACCAGTCTGCTTTCTGTCTCTATGGATTTGCATATTCTGGACATTTCATGGGAATGGACTCATATGGTAGTGATCAGTACCGTCTTAAACATCGCTAGGTCTCAAGTTCAATGGCACTGGACAGGAACACCCTGAGTTGATGGGCTCATCCCCAAACACTCCTATGGCACAGTCTGAGGTCACCCTGCTTAGGAAGGACAGACCCTGCAGGTCCTAACTTGAAGATCTTGGGCAAGTTAAAGAAATCTGCCTTGACTCTGTTTTCCTTACCTATAAAACAAGTATGCTCATATATGCCAATCTCAGGGGTTCTAGGGACAAAAACGAGTCAACACAGTGTCTAGAACAGTAGGGGCACACCATAATTACTCAATAGATGTTACTTCTCGTTGCTGTTGTTTTGTTACCATAGACATCACATCTGTAGCTGCTTTCTGTCAGCAGAGAGCTTTCGGGCAGGCATTGGTTTAAAAAGCAGTAGGCTCCAGGTGCTCAAGCATTGGCAGTGGAGAGCAACAGTGGCTAAGAAGGCCCTTTGCTTTGCTTCTGGGTTGCAGAGAGCACCAGTTGGTACAAGCAGAGGAGGGGTTTGCTGCTCTTGTTTCTTTTATGCCGTGAGGAATCATATAACTGGAAGGGTCTGGATGGAAACCCATCCAACTGTGCTCCTTATCTACAATGTAGCTCTTACAGTTGGACCATGTCCCGCAAGAGGGGTCATGTTGAGTCCTGACCCCCTGTACTTCAGAATGTGACCTTATTTGGAAATAGGTAGTTGCAGATGTAATCAGTCAAGACGAGGTCATACTGGAAAATGAAAGGCTCTGAGCCAATGACTAGTGTCATTGGATGGCCATGTGAAGACAGAAACACAGGGTGAATGCCGTGGGGAGATGGAGGCAGATACTGGGTGATGAGTCTACAAACCAAGGATGCCAGCTGTCCCCAGCAGCCAGGGAGAGGCACCAAACAGGGTTTCCCTCGGAAGGAACCAATCCTGCCAGCACTTGATTTTGGACTTCCGGCCTCTAGAACCGTGAGACACATTTCTGGATTTTTAAAATGCTTTCTGAGGCAAGGTCTCGCTCTGTCACTCAGGATGGAGTGCAGTGGCATGATCATGGCTCACTGTATCCTCGAATTCCTGGGCTCAGGCGATTCTCCCACCTTGGCCTACTGAGTAGCTGGGACCACAAGGCACGTGCTACAATGCCTAAGTTTTTCACTTTTTGTAGAGATGGGGTCTCCTTACATTGCCCTGGCTGGTCTTGAACTCCTGAACTCTAGTGATCCTCCTGCCTCAGCTTCCCAAAGTCCTGGGATTACAGGCCTGAGCCACTGTACCCGGCCCATTTCTGTGGTTTGAAGCCATCCAGTCTGTGGCATTTTGTTACAGTAGCGCTAGGGAAAGGACGCAGTGCCCTTGGGTAATCAACTGCCTCAGTTTCCTCATCCATGTTGGGGCTGGCTATGGGACTTACACAAAACGTGCACAGAGGGCAGCACATAATATACATTCGATAAACAAATGAATCCGAAAAGACAAAAGGGAGGCGACTAGAACATGCATCTTTTTAAAACCAGACATGTGGCCAAATTAAAGAAACGCTTTGTTCTCCTCTGTGCTGTTCTGAGAAGGACCAGGTGCAGAAAACTTTTTCTTTCCTTTTTTTTTTTTTAACTTTAATTTAAAAAACTCTTTCTGACTGCCAGCAGAGCCTGTGCATTTTTTTCCATGTGGATATAAAAATGCATCTGGACTCCGAGCCGAAATGGCCCATTCAGAGCTTTAAAACACACGCGTTCTCAGCTGGCGAGGCAGAGAAACGGCTTGACAGGGGGAGTTGGGGTTTTAAGGCGGGGGAGAGGAATTGGTGGGGAGTCTGGCATGGCGGATGTTCCATCCTCGTGCCAGGGTCCCTGAGGAGCTGTGGTCCCGGGGACACGGTGGGGTGGGGGTGGCCAAGGGGATGCATCTGGTGAATGCTAGGCTGGAACTCTCAAGAATGGAATAAGATCTCAGGAGGTAGGTCTGGGTGAGAGGCCCCAACCCCAGCCTCTCTGATTCCCACTGTTAGATTTCAATGTTTCTTTCTCTCCCTTAGAAGCCAGTTCTCCATTCCTGTACCACAGAAAGCCCTGGAGACCTCCATTCATTGCAGGAGTCACCAAAAATTCCCTCTCCTGGTTTCTTTGTGACATCACCTCTCACAAATCTTCCTCTCTTTCCTCTGCACTCCTCTGACACGTTACTGGCCTCTCTCTGGAAGAGCTCTTCACGGTAAGAGGGGAGGTGGCATGGCAGTTAGAGAGGGTGGGCTCTGCTGCTGGCCTGCCTTGGTTCAAATCCCTGCTCCACTGCTTACGAGCTGTGTGATCTCAGGCAAGCTGCTGAACCTCTCTCTCTGAGCCCGAGCTTCCTCATATGTAAAAGGAGGGCAGCAGCAAAGAGTAGTGAGAATTCAGAGAACTGTTCAGTCTGACACTTAGAACACTGCCTGGCACATAACATGTGGCACTTAAGATTGGCTGCTGTGATGATGATGTATGCTTCCACTTTTCATTATCAGGCTAAAGAGCAGGGACAAGGGAAGGTAAGACACAAAAGCTCTTTCGTATTTGAAGTTAGAGCACAATACGTGGTTCTCCAAAAATAGCAGAATTACCCTGCTGAGTTCTAGTCTCTGCAGGTTAATATGAAATCAGGTTGCGTTCCCGAGTTCCCACTGCCTGGGTGGCTGGAATATGGTGGCCTCAAACTGTCGCAGGCGGTATGAGGATAGTGATTTGAGGCTAAAATTGGCCTCGGATAATCCAGAGTAATTGTGTTTCATTAAAAGAGCATAACAAGAGCTTGTTGTATTTGACACATTCTAGGAGGTAAGGCAGGTGTGGAGGAGGAGGAAGATGCAGGCCCGGGCCTCAAGGGGCTTTTGGGTTGGCACAGGAAAGACTGTGAGGAGTTTGGAAGGTTCCAGCCATCACAGACGGGAAAGTGCAAGCCAGAGAGGTTCACTAGCAGCATCCTCCCTGGTCTCCGCCTACAGGTGATCCCATTAAAACTTGACCTCCACCTTCTCACAAGCGTTTTTCTAAACCTCAACTGCAGGCATGGTGCTCCTCTGCCAAAACAGCCCCCGGGCTTGTTCATCTCAGGAGACGGAGGAGTTATTAGACCTTTGCTCCTCTCCAAGTCTGTCTGATTTTCCTTTTGTGGCATCAAAGGCCTTTTTAGTATGGATGATCCTATCTCCTAGCTCCACAGAACTCCAAGCATATCACCTCAGCCCACTCCTGAGAACAGGTATTATTCTCCCATTTCAGTGACTGGGAAACTGAGGCACTGGCCAAAGCTTGTATGCAGGTCAACTTCCTTCTCCTTCTTCCTTTTGGCCTCTACATGTTGTCTCTAGGCCTCTTACACAGATGGCCCAGGGAGGGTTCTGCCCCTCCTGCACAGGCAACAGCCAGGCACCCTCCCTGTGCCCTGGACACCCGGCCTCCGTTTCCAGAACCTGCTCCCTGCCCCATAATGCCTTCTGTGTGCCAGTCTTCCTGACTCGACTTTGAACCCTGGAGGGAAGGCGCTGCATGCTTAAGATCCTCAGCCTGGTGCTGGGGCAGAGGCCACTCAGTCAATGTTCACAAAGCACACTGTGGCGTCTCCTTCACTGGGGGTCTTGAGAACACGTCTCCAGACTGGGGTAGATGGTTAGGCTGGTCCTAGCTGGGGACGGAGGGCTGGCTTAGATGTCCTGCCACAGTTCCCTTCAAACCCCTGCACTTTATAGACTACAAACGCCACGGGGATAACAGCGCGTCCCATTCTGAGAGAGCAGGTAGTCCCCAACCATCCAGATGAGGGGGACATTTGGCCTTTTGAAACGATACACAAATAATCTTGGGTATGGCTCTGCTCCCAACATGCCTGGCTCGGGGCCTTGCAGGACAGGAACAGTAACCTGCACCACGAGGGCTTGAGAGATCGCATGTCAGACCCCCAGCTGGTTTGCTGGAGAGGCCTGAAGATCCAGCACAGAACCCCGAGGATGCAGGAGTCCAGCAAAACGAATGTCACAGAAGAGAAGCTACTTCCATTCTTGGGAGCACTTCCTGCCATCATTGATGGCCAGGACTGGTTATTCCTGGGCCCCCCTCCCCCATCCTCTACACTTTG